CAGAGAATCCCAATAGCTCTTTTGTCCTGTTTTAAAAATCACTTCACTATATAACTACAGAGCTACAAGGCTAATGATCCCTAAGAATTTGTTCGATTTCTAGTAATAGGTCTTAAGTAGGTCTGCAAATGGATAGTGTATACTGTATTCTTAATCTTAACCAAGCTTTTGCTAATTTGAGATTAGAGTTTTGAATTATTGAAGGCAGTATGAGATAAATTGCAATTTATTTAAGGAAAGCTCACTGTTAAAGAGAAATTAATTTTTAATATTTCTTGATCCTTTCCTGTTACACTAACACAGTGGAACCGCTGGCTCAAAACATGACTCACAATGGTCCTAACAGGCAGCTCCTCCAAGAGAAAAAAATCCTTTTAAATTCCATATATATACTGAAGATTTAGTTGATTAATCTGGTCAAAACCTGCAGCCTTGAAGTTAACATTTCCACTTTTTCCCCAAACAGGATTCTGCTGTAGGTCCCAGAAAAGCATCACATTCAACAGTAAGCAGCATACAGTATCAGTGACTGAGTCAACACAGCATTTTTCCCTGTCTAGTTTTTCACCATGGTAGGTGAACTCTTCTTTCTCAATGATGGTATTGTTCCTAAAATGTTTTTCCGTAAGTTGATGCCATTCATTATCTGCTGGCTGGAGGGAATGGGAATAGAAATCTGAAACAGTGCGCATATGAGGGAAAGGGAGAAAATTTAGGCCCGGGATGGTGGTCCAATAGTGGCAGAAGGATTCTGTCAAAATTTTCACACTTTTTATATAATTAATATTATTTTATTGTTGTTTGTTTTTAAACTATTCTCACATATGGTGAAAGGAATGTGTATTTTGCCATTTGCATTTCCTGTAGCAGTTTTACACTACACTACAAAGAAAACATCACAAGCATTTATTGAAAATTATTTTGTACAGGTAGTGTTCTGTTATTCTTAAGTTTCATTATAGTTAAGAAATGGAAAAGCAGTGTAAAAATATTTTAAAAAATTGACACTGAAGCTAAGAAAGTGCTTCCAAAATTGGTAACTGTGGAAGAGGAATAACTGCCATTCAACTGAACATCACGCTACATAAGAACATGAAAGTGAAATGCTTGAACAAGGTAAGTATGACATTACTCTTGACTCTCCCCCCCTAAAAGTGTTTTAAAACTAAAGCAGCTGTGATCAGCTGTGAATATCAATGATAGAATGATTTGGGATTCCTTTGTGACTATTTTTTTCATTTCAAAGTTGCTGTGGGTTTTTTCAAGAGGTGAGATGAAACAGTTTGTGAGAAGGCAGTTTTGCCTGGACAAAATAGCCAGAGGAGAAAGAGTTGAGCATTCTTTTCCAGCACCGTTCCTCCCCTTAGATTTGCAGCCTGCCTCTCCAGTGGCAGAGAGGACGAAAACCAAAAAGCATTTTAACAACACTAAGCCACCATCTGTCTGAAACAGATAATATGTACAGTTCTAACCTCATAGTTTGTGGCCAGAATGTGGTTGGTGTTCATGGAAGATTTATATAATTTGCTACAGTTAATTGATGAGGTTCTGGAGCACATCTCAATTGTGTGGTCAAGTACATGAACAGGCACAGCACTAAGACATACACTGAAACCTTTTCAATTAGCTGCCATGAGTTATGAAAACTTTGTGCAAGCATCAGTAGGTTTCTGATCTTTATGCTGGGCATTTAGCACTTGAAATGTAGTTTAATTTCCAAGGTATGATTTGGGCAAATCCTGGTTTGTCATTATGTCTGAAATGATGGGTAACATGCCTAAAACCAGCCATTGTGATGTGCATGCACCACTTGAATATTGGGGTATATCTAAGACTGATATATCTAAGATTCAGTGTTCTCAGGTCTCAGAGCTCCTTTCAGGCACAAAAATAAATGGGAATATTTCACAACATTCCTGACATTAACATGTGGCACAGGGTTATATGTGGCCCTGCCTGGTGTAAGTGCTGTGAGCCTGACCTTCTGCCATTGTCTAATCAACAGAGGAAAAGTTTACTTCTGCTGGGCGCTAGCTCAAATCCTAGCCCCAAACTTCAATTACTAAACTTGTGCAGTAAGAAGATTCACAAGTCATGATGCTGATCTTCCACTTGTCGCTCTGCTCTGAATTGCATAATGGGTCCAAGGGCCTACATACACTGTCCTCCTTCCCTGTTTTCCTTCCCTTGTTCTTGGATTTTTGGTGCACTGATGTTGCACTAGGAAACCAGCATAAAACACATCTGCACACTGAGCCCTGGCATAATCTATGCATCCAGACTATAAATTTAGCTCTTACAGACAGATTAAATGTTCAGCCCCTGTAGATTTGTCTTCCTGCATATAGACCCAGAGAACACTTCCCAGAAATTAGCGCTGGCACCTTGAGACATGGCCACCCTAATTAGACATAGCTTGTTCAGTCCCTTCCTCCTTCAGTACCTGCACTTCCTCCCTGGAGAGAACAAAAGCTTATACATTCATTTAACAGTATTTTCTGCTAGGGATGAACTCAGGGTACTGTGCTTTGACCTTTTCTAACTAATTGCATTTAAAACAAATTACATTTCCTCATTCATATGTAAGGAAAACTGTTTTGGTTTTATCAGAACTTGATTTCCTTTGCCCATAAATGAGTAGAGGAATGGAGTAGGGAAAAGTAAGAGGAGAGGAATCCTGCAACTCCTTTATCCGAGCCATTATATTGGAACTTTTAGAAGCAATTAATAAAAACCAATTTAAAAGATGCATCACATAATTCTTTTCCTTTTTTAAAAAAATTGTTCGGGAATGGAAAGTAGGTTTTCTATCAGAAATATGAATGCACAACTTCCTTGCAAAGTGATTGCATGGGATACATGAGTCTCATGTAATGTTCCCTCTGGATTTCCCCTGAAAATTCTTTTAAAACCAATTTTACTTTGTGAAATGATATTGATTTTCATTAATTAGCAGCACAATGTGGGGATAAGCTTTTAAATATTGGTATTAAGATGAGATAAATGATTTGTGAATTCTTTCCCTCAAGAATGTTGAAGTGAAAAGATTTGCAGCTAGAGTACATGGGAAGCTTTTCTTTTTTTCTTGATACTAATGAAAGTGTGTACTGAACTTTAGTGGAGGAATGTAGATACAATGTAACAGTAAGCTATGGAGGGCAATCAGCAGCCAGCGCTTGGAGTCTCATGAGTCCTCTACAGATGCCAGACCTCACAAGTATCCAGCATCTCCAGTTATGGGAGGCTTAGGAGGAGTTGGGGCTGGTGGCTCCAATTCATTGGTGCTTTGAATCCACTCCTAGTATTGGCTCACAATTAGCAGGAGCTATACTTCAGTACCTTGGATAACTCCTATAAGTGCAGACTAATACCCAAAATGGACTTCACAGAACCTACAAAGTCCAGTCATGAGCCACTGTTGTCCTATAGTAGCCCTATAGTAGTCTCAGTACACTTTAGGGTTCCTGAAGTAGGAGGAAGAGGAGTAGGATCAAACAGAGTAGAACTGTTCTCCTTTAAACTCTCCTTGGAGTAGTCTCTTCACCGCATTTTGAGCTCCTCTGCTTAAATACTTTTTGCTTGTGAACACTGGTAAAAGTGTGACCTTTTGCAAGTTTTAGTTAAAGTTTGATAAAAATTTGTTTTGGAATTTTAACTGAAGGGCTTCTTGTTATCTTAACACATATAAAACTTTTGAAACAGTTCAGAACATTGTAATATTAAAGAACAAAGCAAACTTGAAACATAGTACTGTATCCTTGAATTAGCTTGAATTAATAATTAATCTTGAATGAATAAGATTGAAGACCCCTAATACAGAAGCTCTTGTTGGATTAGCAAATTGGTTTAATGACTTCAAAAGAATCTAGTCAACAGGAGATAGTGTGCTATGTATTTCAGCCTAAATAAATTGCTATAGTGTCCTCTCTTGAGACTGAAGGGTGCCTGTGTGTGGTAGGCAAGGTGTGATGGAGTGTTCATGGAAGAAGCCTTATTTTGCACAACTCCATTGGGTCTGTTAGTTATGGTGAAGAACAAGGTGCTGTGTAGGACAATGAAGTCCCAGTTGTACTCTGGCTACTTAGCTGTGTGTCTGAGAGCCATTCACAGGTGTTGTCAACCCACCTTCAGGCATAATTTTTTTGCCATAAGAACTAGGAACTTGCAGTTTGTTGGGAGACAAGGAAGGAAGATTATGGTTTTCAAGAAGTTGAATTCTGTACCCAGAATCATTTTCTGCACTCTCCCCATGCTTCTGCAGAATTAGAATGTATGCCCGAGAAACTATGCTGACTCAGTATTTCTGCTAGGTTATGTCTCCTGATATGTCTTAACTAAGGTCATGGCCACTGGTCCCATCACGTCCTGGCAAATAGAAGGGGAAGATATGGAGGTAGTTACAGATTTTACTTTCTTGGGCTCCATGATCATTGCAGATGGAGACAGCAGCCACAAAATTAAAAGACGCCTGCTTCTTGGGAGGAAAGCAATGACAAACCTTGACAGCATCTTAAAAAGCAGAGACATCACATTGCTGACAAAAGTCAAAATAGTCAAAGTTATGGTTTTTCCTGTAGTGATGTACAGAAGTGAGAGCTGGACCATAAGGAAGGCTGACAGCCGAAGAATTGATGCTTTTGAAATGTGGTGCTGGAGGAGACTCTTGAGAGTCCCCTGGACTGCAAGGCGAACAAACCTATCCATTCTAAAGGAAATCAAGCCTGAGTGCTCACTGGAAGGACAGATCCTGAAGCTGAGGCTCCAGTACTTTGGCCATCTGATGAGAAGAGAAGACTCCCTCGAAAAGACCCTGATGTTAGGAAAGTGTGAGTGCAAGGGGAGAAGGGGACGACAGACGATGAGATGGTTGGACAGTGTCATCGAAGTGCCCAACATGAATTTGGCCCAGCTCCGGGAGGCAGTGGAAGACAGGAGGGCCTGGCGTGCTCTGGTCCATGGGGTCACGAAGAGGCGAACACGACTAAACGACTAAACAACAACAACATGTCTTAACAGCTCCACCTTGTTAAGTACATTGAGGGAAGACACACTACAGATTACAGAAACTGCTCAGCATTTGAGTCTTTCAAGCAAAGTGCAGAGCTGCAGATGTAGACTCCAGCACTCTTTCCAGACATTGTTCTGTGTGTGGTGCTTTGTGCCCCTAAGTTTGCAGGCAAGAGAGTTTCATTTCACACCCTAACCATTCAATCACAGGCCGCTTGACAAAGGAGGCTCTGCTGTTCTCTTGCTGTTCTTGGTACTTTATATAAGGTTCTCTGTACGTTACAATCAGCTGTTTTGATGATGCTAGAAGGTCTCTCTTGCATGCAGCTTTGGTGATCCCATTGTGAACTGTAGTGCTCTTGTAGGCTGTTCTCCCTTAAAACATATATCTTTACTGAGATGCCACAACTTGCTGAAGATTCCCATTACGTTGTAAGCTATTCATTGTAAGAGTTGGTGGTGGTGGTGGAGGTGGTGGAGGAGGAGGAGGTGGAGGAAATAAAGTACCAGCTATTTCTGAATGAGTCTGTGGGTCAGGCATTGGAATTGGACTCATTGAACCAGAGTCACTCTGGATGGAACCAAGGCTGCTGCCATCAAAACTGGTCATTTTCTTCTTCATTAATTTTCTTTCTTTGGCTCTGCGATTCTGGAACCAAATTTTTACCTATAAACAGAAAGAAAAAAAAACACAGTCTTTCAGTTACTTACTGCATGACCCAATACAGTATCAGCTACAATTGCTTGTCTATCTAAATTACAGTGGGGTCTTGACTTGAGAACTTAATCCGTATTGGAAGGCGGTTCTCAAGTCAAAAAGTTCTCAGGTCAAATCTGCATTTCCCATAGGAATGCATTGAAAACCATTTGATCCGTATCTGCTCTTTTCCGTCCATAGAATCTAATGGGAAGCTGCTATTCCGCCTTCAACCACTAGAGGGGAATATTTTGTTTCTTTTTTTCTTAGGTCCAGAAAGGTTCAGGGAAGGCAGGGAAAATACAGTCCAGGCAGTACCAGGCAGTCCGAAGACTGTCTCCCAATCCACTCTCTAAACACTGGGAGGAGGGAGGAAGCAGACAGGCACCCTTTTCACTGGCCAACAGTTAACTGAAAGTTCAAATTTTGCACTTTCCCTGCCTCCCACGTGGGTTTTTTTAAGTTCTTAACTCAAATCTAAGTACTTAAGTCAAGTCAATATTTTCCTATGAGAGTGGTTCTTAAGTCAAAATGTTCTTAACTCGAGCCGTTCTTAAGTCAAGACCCCACTGTATAGCACTAATATATCTTGTCTATTGACTGCAACTTGAAATAATCAAAGAACAGTTTTTCATACATTTTTGTGTGTTCTTCATTCTTACTTCAGGAATAGGGAAATTAACCTGTAAACAAGAATTTCCCCCCATTTAATGAAAAAATGTGGGAGCAAACAGATGGAAGGTAGATTGGTTCCTCTTTGTAATTCTTTGTATTCCTTGAAGTAAATTGGCAAGGATTCCGACTCTCAATAGCAAGCAAAGTTGCAATTTTTAATAGTCTAATTGTATCCTTTTTCAAACTCAATGTTCTCATTTGCAAAATGAGAATATTGCTGTAATTAGTTTTCTGTGGCCAAGTCTTTATATAGCTTTATTGATCATGATGGGATTGCTGACTTCCATGTGTCCTTTTCTCTTCCAATTGTACACACACCATGGTGGGTAATTGGATCTGCCCATCAGAACAATATTTTTTCTGTCCCACTCAAGCCTGAATTCCAGTTTTGCAGCTTTTTCATGTAGCTCTCATGGGGGACGTGGGTTGGGAGTGTAAATCCTGAAATTCTGACCTTCTGTATACCAACATAGATTTGACCTTTTTCTTCTGCTTCAGAGAGGAAATTTAATGTGCATAACTTATATTCTACCTGTCTCTCAGAAAGTCGCAAGTGTGCAGCAAGTTCTGACTTCCGTCGAATTGTAATGTATCTGTTGTAGTGGAATTCCTTCTCCAGTTCTAATCTTTGATGGTCTGTGTAAACAACACGATACTTCTCTTTTGTTCTTGTTTTTCCTGTTTGGAAAAAACACACACAACAAAATCTACATAGGTATCCGTGAAAGATCAGGTGTGTCACTGAGAAGTATTCATCCTTGAGAACATCTAGCTGCCTAGAGTGGTGGCAATGACCAGATAGGCGGGGTATAAGGCGGGGTATAAATAGAATAACTAGAATAAATAAATAAATAAGTGTTATGCTGTAATCAGCTCAGCACTCTAGTTCAGCACTCTGTTCTGACAGTGGTCCACCAGATAACCATGGGAAAGCTATAGCAGGACAAAAAGTTAGTAGCATCCTCCTACTTGTGTTTTCCCACAGCTGGTACATAGAGGTATCACCAGACCAGATGTAGGAGGAAATATGTATCCTCCATAAAGTAGCCCTTATCCTCCATCAGCAAACAAAAAAGAAAAAGTGGTCATTGTGTAAAATCCCAGAACAAGAGTGAGTGGCATTTTAAAAATCAAATAAACTCTCAGAGCCAAAGAGCCCCAAAAACCCACAACAACCAAACTCTCAGTAACTTTTGAACCCTGCAGGAGTCTTTGCCAGTTTGGGCATTGCTGAGCTTGTGTGAGGTGGGCTACAGGGAGAAACAGAAAAGGCCAACTGTCTCAAAGTTCTGTAATGGAGGCTGCAACCCTGTACAGTCAGCTTATAGGTACTGAATTTCACCTCAGGGGATGTAAGTTTCCTTAACAATGGTTCATTTCTTTTGCAATGCCCAACCTGATGAAGAGTCTGCATCAGGCAGGAATTAGAAGCTAGCATGTTTCTGAGACTTTTATGATCTAATTGGATTTGTTCAAGTATTTCTCCTCCATGAATTTGTCTGTCTGCTGCATTCAAAGGACAGAGTGTGAATGTATGTTGCCTCTTTAGGCCCACACTTATAAAATCTAGGTTACCCATGAATGGTCTGGTTCAGATATAGGTTAACTAAAGCTTAGAGACAATAGGTTATAAATAATTACTTTTTGAATAAAAAGGAAGTAGTAAAGGTGTTATTTAAAATTGCACCTATTATAACAACTGAGTGATTACTAAAGGTGGATTGAAATGATAATAAATTACCTTTTAAAAAGTAGCTTTTCATATTTGGAGCTTAACACACAGGTTGGCAGACAATCTGATGTCTCCTAGGTGTTTGTACTGCAGTTCTTATAAGCTGCTGCTAGCATAGCCAAAAGGTGTGGCGGGGTATGTAGCCACCAACACCTGCAGGAGACAAGGCAGCCTGCTTGTAATGAATCACTGGCCTCTCTCTTCTGGTGGTCATCTCTTGTGTATTCTCCTTGCTGAGGGAAATGTTACCTTTACTTATAAATAAGGAGGGAAGTCTTTGTACAGTAGTAATACAGGAGACAACATGATGGCACATTACCAGCAAAACTGCATTTACTCAATTTATATGCTTGGGTTGTATGCTTTGTAATCATGTTCCAGTCAAAGTATACAATAAAGGAGCCCCAAACGTGTATTTCTGGGGCTGAACTTTACATACAACAGAATTATTTTTGCAGAAATGAGAAAGGAAAGCTGAGAATTGCAGAATGTTGGAAGAGAAAATAGTTCATGGAGATTAAGTTAACCAAACTACTTTTGAAACACCCAAAAGAGAAGAGAGATTTTTTAATGAAATTTGCTCAGATTAACATGTATAGCTACTAATTTAGGAATAATTACCATCTAAAAATTCAGCATATCACACTGGAGTGGGGAGGGTAGTGACCCATGTACCTTTTTATTCTGTTGTCTCGATTCTAACTGTTGGTGGCTAAATTCAAGAGAAATGGCTCTTGATTTTACAGTGAACAGAATCCTATTGGTGTTATGTGAGATTTGCATAACTTGCTGCAGCTAAGTGTAAGAACTGACAAGTTGCTAGAGCATATATCTCAGGCATGTGGCTGATCATGTATCAAATTGTGCAGTCAAGGTTCATCCCAACACCTAATCAATTAACTGCAGCAAGTTATGCACAGCCTTGCAAGAGCATCAGTATTATTGCAGCTATGATCTCTAAAAGAAGTAGGGGGTCAGATGGTGCTTTAGATGAGATTTCCTTCAGTCTTAAAACTGTCCTTGGGTAACTCTTCAAATGGAGAACTACTCTCTGTAAGTGCAGCCCACATGGCCACCGTAATGAGCATGTAAAAGGATAAGCTTTGTTTTGGAGGGGGGGGATTCTACAATGGAAATGCATTGTTTTGCTGTGCTGATTCATTATAAGGGGTCGTTTGTAGTGTTTTGTGGCAAATCAGGTTGTTCACACAGTGTAAATCTGCTCACCTGGGGCTTGGCCTATCTTAGGATACTCCACTTAATCTAGCAGTCTGTGACTCAGCAAGCCAAAGCTTTTGGGGGCTGGAAGTGAGAGGGCACCTTCCTCATTGGTCATAAAATTCACAGAGCATTTCTTCTGACAATAAAAACAAAGAGAGGGCTTCTTTATTTACTGTGAAAATCATCACCCTTTCTGGCAATATAACTGCTAAAGAAAGGGAGAAGGAAAAGAGAAGGGGGCATATCAAAGCAGAAAGAAGTGTTAAAAGAAGGTCTGTTGCTTAATATGGGAGATGGTCCTCTGAACTGAAGGACAATGGAACTAAAGATCAAGGAGGGGATGTAGACCTCACAACTAGTTTACAAAGCAAAATAGATTAGCATTAAGACTACCTCTGGCTCTCCCTGTCTTCTCAGCTTGTGAGTAGCTTCTGTTTTACATCAGTTAACATCCTCCTTGTCACTCAGATTTGTCTGTGTCTGTGCATTTTGCAGTTTGATGGAAGAGACTTTGTCGGTGTTCTGAGTCATGCAACTGAGCTTTAATTATACCAGAGAAGTAGCTTTGAAGCCACAGAGAAGTGGCTGGGAACATAATCTGGACAAGATCTTGAATTCAGCTGCTAGGAGGAACTAATGTGATAGTTGAACTTGTTACAGAGACTATGGGAGGCTTTAAATTTGCTATTTATCTTTGTTTAACACATAGCTTGACCTTTTATTTGAAACAAAGTGTAAATGTATATTTTAAAAAGTTTTCTGGTACCATAGAGACAAATTTATTTTCATGCAAGCTTTCTTAGAGGTACAACAAAACTCTTCTTGTTCTGCTGAAGCAGACTAATATGGTAACATATCTCAAATTTGCTGAAAATAGAATTAAGAATTCACAGTCCTTTCATGACACCCACATCTAATGCCTGAGGTGGCTTCTTCATTCCAGCTTATTGTAATGCCCTCCCTGCTCTTACCAAATGTTTCCAACAAGGCCCTGCACAAACTGAGATTAAAACACACTCAGGATATGCACAGAAACACACACCATAGTTTGTGGTGCAGGGGAAAGCCAGAGCTTGGAAGCATTACTTCTTTTTTTGACTACAACTCCAGAGTATACAGATAGCATAGTTATAGTAACATGATGGCAAAAGGAGGGGGTGAGATTCAAAGTGATGTGAAACATATATCTATGGTAGCATCTCAACACCATTTGAGTGTCAGCTGTTTCTCAGGGGAATAATTGTTATTTAAAGACAGGAGAAGTGCTCAGCAGTTTCCAGCCTACCTCACAGAGAGTGAGTTGGAGTATCATTTGGAAACCTCTGGTCTCATGTGTACGTATAGTCCCAAAGTGTAGTAGGTAGCACAGTGGGTACTCAATTAACTTTAAGAAGCAGTTGAACCACAAGGGGAAATGTGGCCATTAGCTGCATGAATTACCAAGTCTTTGCAGCAGTATTAGACATAGTAATGTTTAAAAAATCTTAATCTTATGGGAATGTTTACAATATTGTGTAAGATTCTGCCTACACCATCTCTAAAAGGCCATTGTAGGGCTGGAAAATGTTCAGCTGGCAGCTGAAGTTATTGAGGAATTAGAGCCTTCTCCCTACCAGAAAAAAGGAGGTGAAAAATAGCTAATAAAATTAGTCTAAAATTTTGTTTTAGGGATTATTGTTAAAGTTTTTTAAAGACATTTGGAGAGCTAAGACTTTATGAACATCTATAAAGTGGTGTTAGATTAAAAGTTTTTCTTACTTGTTCATGATATTGAGGCTTGGAGAAGGATATAGAAAAAAGACAGCTTAATATAACATATTTTTAATATTGGTTAAAATTGGTTGCTGCAAGAGGAGTTAGTTGCTTCTTATTTTGGGTGGTCTTTAAATGATTCAGTTAATTCTTGGGTAGAGGTCTATAAGAGCTTAACCACAACAAACTAAATGATGCTTCCACAAGCAAAGATGCTGAATTTGAGAGAGTGGGAATCAGAGAAGAGGGCACAGCAGCCATATCATGTACTGATTTTCTTTAAAAATCTGTTTTGATAGATGAACACTTTTCTCTATCTGCTTGGAACTGCATTGGTCCTGCACGGACTTGCAAAAAAAAAAAAAAAGGTAGTCCTTTTGTTTGGAGAAACTAGAGAACATTCTGTTCTGTTCTGTTTGTAAAGTTCTGTTTGCTCTCTGAGGCATCCTCCATAAATGCATATTTTTAAAATTCAGAGCAAAGGTCACCATGTCTAATATGGCCAGTTTCCTACCAAGGATGTTTATGACTACTGGAAAAGTGTAATTGTGAGCTTCAGAGAGGCTCACATAATTCTCCTGGGTAATTTTACAATCCAGGAGGATTTTGCTCATACTCAGTAGAAAACTACTGGCACACCCAATATTATAGGCAGGAACAAGAAGACTGAAGGGGACTGAAATTTGGTTTTGGACTCAATAGGACTTATTAAGTACTTCATGTGGAGTTTGGATTGGATTAAAGAAAAGAAGGTCTAAGCCCTGCTATATCTATCTCTTTGCTGCAAGTTCCAAAGACTTTGTGCTAAAATCTAAAATATATAAAAAGCAGACTGAAAAATTGACAGGTAACCTAAGAGGAGGTAGTTGTTCAGAGCAAAAAAAATTGATATTGTCTTTGATGGGGATTGCAGTTCACAAATGTTCATGCTGTAATAAATGTGTTATCCTTTGAAATATTACAGGACTCAGTTGGCTTTTCTGTAACAAACCAAAATAGCTATCAGGGGAAAAAAAAAAGAGATTCTCTCTAATAAATACAGATGACTGGAGCATTTCATATATAATAGGGAGATCGTAACTTTATAATAGGTGAACATTTTGATTGTCTTTTTAATATTTGTATATCTGAATATTCCAGAGTACCAGAGTTTATCTGTTGGATTAACTAAGATGACTTATTGGTGCATAGTTCTATAATTATTTTAACAAGCTAAAAGTGTACAAGACTGTTTCCCCTTGCTCAATATCACCCTTATTTTTAAAAATGATTTCAAGTGCTTCTGATTCATTTGCAGTCCTAATATCATTTATTCCCTTATGGAATATCAGATTTTACACCTAAAACTTTTTTTTACCACTCTTGTGAGCAATGAAACCAGAGCTCTCTGAAGAAACTCAGAAAATGTGAGATAATATGCTTTTTTATGAATCTCTTTGCAAACAGAATTTTGCAATTGATTCAGTCATTGTTCTATAGATACTTGTACCTATGTCAAGATTAGAATTATTTAGTAATTTATCAATACTACTCCCCTCTCCCTATATCTTTATTGAAGTCTGTTTCCTGAGGGACTGAGATATGCTTTATAGTTGTCATACTTTATGACTGTCATGTTGTTATTAAAATTCCAGAAGAGTAGTCTATCTAGAGATAAAGTGATTTGTGTAACTGGTTGAATGTGTCAAATTCCTGCATTCTTTGGGAGCATCCAGCATTTTAAGATGAAGGAGGCCCTTTCATCTGGTGTTTCCATTTGAAATGTTAATGTAAGAAACTCTGTAACTTAACATATAATCAGGATCTGATGCTACAGACCTTCTTCAAAAGTAAAGATTTAAGTAACTACAACAGTAAACGCTGGTGAAAAACCACTTCGTCAGAGTACTAGAAAATGTGAATAGTTTATTCTTTCATAGGGGAGAGTGGATTGTATCCAAGTTGAGTTGCAATTAGAACAGGCCTGCTAAAGTAAATGATTCTTATGTTCAATTCCAGTTATTTCAGTGGATCTTTTTAAGGTAAATCTGGATCCAGTCCAGTATTAACAGATAGCATTTTTAAAAGTCTCATGCATTTCAGTCCTGCTGATTCTCTGAGTTTACCTTATCCAGTCCAGTATTAACAGATAGCATTTTTAAAAGTCATGCATAACTTCAGTCCTTCTGGTTTTCCTACGTCTACTCCAGTTTAATACTGGGATCAAACCAGTATTAAAAATGCACATTTATGTCTGTAATAGTATGCACACTTACCCAGAAACCTTCCCAGTAAGCATACATGATGCTACTGAAGTTTATATTAGAGTATTTTCTAATGTTTCTGCTGTTTCTTTTTTTTCTTCCCTCAGAAAAGCTCCTTTTTCTAAATAAGGCATGTGATAATTTGCCATTTCTTCCTATACTGATGTCAGAAGGACAATAAATCTAAGGCATCATTCAAAAGCACAAACAGCAGATGAAAGAGTGATAGTGAGAAAATCTTTTCCATCCTGGAGAAGAATCTCCCTTTCTCTTTTGAAGATGGGTGGCTGAGGGAATTAACCTAAGAAGCTTAGACAGTGCTTTAATATAAATGTGGTCCTTGCCAACATACCTGTTGAAGTGGACTGGACTGTTTTCCTCATCCATTCGTAAGAGCTGTGTCTTTGGTTGTGTGGAGAGATTTGCTCTGTGTTAATTGTATCTACAGATGGTAAAGCCCTTGAGCCAACAGGATCCAGGCCACTGTAATCAGCAGAACTGTAAGAAACCTGCCCGGGAGAAGATCCATTCATATGTGCTGGTGTCACCGTGCTGGAGGGTCCTGGATCATAAGCATTCCAATCCTCCCTTTGCAGGCCATAATGGGCTCCCCATGCCCCTGAAGGTTGTCCACGGCTGTCCATACTTTGCATGTGATGGAATCCCATGTAATCCGCATAAGATGTGCTAGAGGCAAAGTTTTGTGCTGGCAGGTTGTTGCTGCTGGTGTTGCTGTTGTTGCACCTTATGGATCCTGGATACATACTGACTTCCCCCCCCAAAGGCTAGCTCACATACATGATGTTCATCTCTTGGCTTTGTCTTGCCAAGCCATCCTGCTCAACTCTTTTGATCTCACACCCCCTCCTCTTTCTCTCACTCTCTCTTTTCTAGCCCCAACTGCCTCTATAAATGACTCATGCTAGTCCTGAGGTCTCTTTACTACACATGATTAACAATGGTATTACCAGGTGCTTGGGTTAACAGTTACTAAGGTCCTGCCTGATGTCACAGCTAACTGGCTGCTCCCAAACAACATTTGCATTCAAATGAAGGGTTGTCCATCCCTAGAACCCCACCTTGCTGCCAACGTGAGTGTTTCCTGTCTCAGGAGCCCTTTCCATGTCCTGGCCCAGCCCTTTCCCAAGCTTCCTGGTGGACTGGATGTGGATTCCACTTTTGTAGGTATTTATGCAAACAAATAAATAGCACCAGTGAAACACTGTTCATCTCATGGTGATACTCGACCTCTAACCCATGAGGGGTTAAGCTGTAATACATTGATAAAGTCTTTAAAGAGCCACAAGACTTAGATTTTTTTTGGGTTGCAACTGCCTAACACTATTTCCCTTTACAGAAATTATGCATACAATTGCAGTAAAAAGAGCAGAGAGTCCTCCAGTACCTTGAAAATTAACCAATGTATTGCGATATAAGCAGTTGTGGAATCATCAGATACATCATGAATCTCTTCTGTAAAACCTTAGATTTTAAGTAAGGTCAGAGTGGCTCTCATTTGATCCATGAAGATGAATGTTGTATTCTGGAAAAGCTTTCTTACTTTGCATTTAAATAAGATTGTTCTCATCAGTGAGTTTAGGATTTTATCAAAAAATATCATGTCTGTTTAAAAGAATGTGCCTTTTCTGCCAAAGTAGCAGAATGTGTCATGTTTAATTTTTTCTTATCTTTTTGAATTGAAGTTTCCATGATTTGATCCTGAGAACCAATAACTCACACAATTAACGTTACTATTTCAAAAGTACTCTTTGGTATAAAAAGCTGTGTTGATGATGTTGGTATTTGCTTTTATCTGTGTGAGTGTTACCATTGGTTTCATTTCAGCAGTGTGGCTGTGTGAGAGTCCCAGTGAGGTAGGCCCTCTCCAATATCACAGAAACATCAAAAGGCCAGAAGAGAAATCTCCCGGAGGAGCCGGGGAGGAGATGGTTGCTTGAGCCTGGGAGCAAGAGTCTTTTCCTGCAAGCCCATGGGGAGGGGTGGGTAATGCAAAGGATGACCTATCAGAACAATGTTATCAGCACAGTGATTACAGTGGTCTTTCATCTTTTTTTTTTTAATGAAGGGGATCTGTATCTTTAAAATGAATACCTGAAGACCATTGAATGGTGTGAAAAACTGGTTTCCTGGCTAAAGATATAAGCACCCTTATAAAGTCTTTATCTCTGGTTGACCCCAAGTGCTCAGAAGAGCTTAGTACAGATTTTCTAAATGTCATCTGAAAAGCAGAGGGAGTGGCAGCAGCAGTGCTTGTTGTACCCAGCCTATATGGAACCCCTGCTTCATGGTCTCCTTCCAAGGGGACTGAGATTACTTTAATAATGGCAAGTACGGTATGTAAAACAGGTTTTTCACATGCTTGGGTGTTATGTTTAATCTGGGTTATTGGTTCCTATGTAAGAAAAATTTGCCACATGTTTGCTCTGTCCTTCCCATTGGGGAAGAAAAATAGAATCTAGGTCCTATAGGAAAATAAAGCTTAGGGGGTTCAGTGCACAGTTCCCCACCTCTGTTTTCTCCTCAAGGCAATCCTGATGTACTACCCAATGAATTTGGCTAAGCTGGAATTTGACCCCAGATCTTCCCAGTAGTCAATCAAATTAAGATTAATATGTTTTAATAGGCATTAACATTTGGGGCTGCAGCTGACTGTATCAGATGGCTAGTGTAGCTTACATCAAATAAAATACCTTAATATTCAAGGTGCTACAGGACTTTGGTATGTTTTTGCTACAACAGACCAACACAGAGACTGCCTTGGAAGCAACTCATTTTTCCCCCAGCCTGGTGCCCTGTAGATACAGTGGTTAGAGATGATGTTGGGAGGTGCAGTCCAACAAACCAGGAGGACACCAGATTGGTGAGGTTGCTGTACTACACGTTGGCATGCTAAGGACCCTCCCCCAAACAACCTGACTGGACGTACGCTCTTATGCTGTCCTGTCTGAAGATACGTGGGCACATTTAGTGTCCATGGTGGAAACGAGGGGCGAGGGAGATTTTAAAAAATAGTACCCAGTCTGGTGGGGATAATTTGGCTTAGGGTTTTTTACCCTTTTGAATGCCTGTGGCATTTTTGCCTATTTGGACAAAACCTAAAGAATTCCACTTTCATCTGTCTTTAGTAAAAAAAAAAAGAAAAAAAAAGAGTTAAGCATGCTAAGAATAGTTCAAATGAGATTAAAGGTTCTAGATCATGATTTTTAAGCAATTCAATTGGTAATGAATATACAAAATAAATCCATCTGAAAATGAATGACTGAGAATGAATTAAGAACTCTTCTTACATGTTATGGAAATATGTCTACCACAGGTCTGTCTCATTTTAAACATTTGTATAAATATATTATGTGCTTAAAGCTGTAAAGGATTATTCTTAATAACAATAAGAGAGGAATGAAGACACTAGGGCTTTTAAAGGAGTGGTACAAATTGTCTTCACACTACCTCCTGATGAACAAGCAAAACACAGGAGAAAGAACTGGAAAAAAACAGCCCATTAATGATGTGATACTGATTATAGCACCTTTATGAATGAGCTGACACATTGAGGGAAAGTTTGTGTTAAACAGATGAGAAGTGTAATGAGTAACTGGTGAAGGATTTTTTTCTTTTTCAGTTCCTGCATTTTAACACCTGCCCCAAGAATAAGAGAAGATTGGCTGTCTTTTTTCTGAAATAAGCAGGATCTCTGGGCAATATAATGGTGTTTGCAAATGGCATTCTAAATATCTTCTTAAGGTGCACTTGCAGCGATTTTCAAATCCATGCATGTGTTTCCAGCTTTGACTTTTGCAATCTTGCAACATTGGCATTAGAGCAGAAACTGCATTGGACTACATTTCCCATAGTCCCTATTAAGATGATAATCATTGAACTCATCTTGGGAAAGGCTATTTTAGAGCCTTGAGGTGAAAATCTCTGTATTATATCTACACATAAGATAGATTGTTATCAGTGTGTAATAACATTGTAGTTTGCACCCTGAGCACATTTCAGGAAAGGCCAACAATAAATGCTACTCAGTAACAAACAAATTCATATACAAAATATCATATGCTATTTCTTACAGCTTTTTTTTATTTATTTGTCTTAGTTATAGGTTATCTTTCTCCGAAAAAGGGGGTTCAGGGTGGCTTATAAGGGGAATCCTGATAACAGTGTAATGAGGAAAGGGAGGAGAGATTTGACGTATTGTGTGCGGTTTTTTTTTACAATGCCCAGTTCCATGTCTTCTGCAACAAACCATCTTAACTTCAGAAACAATCTTGCAGGCATTTTGTCAGTTGACAGGTAAAACCACAGAGTGCCACAGTTCACACTTTGTAGAGTTTTGCCAATGACTGCTGGTTTATAAATGTTTGGGGGACAGATAAATTGCCATTAAAAATCAGGCTATCTTTTGGAAGGCAAAATAACTTAAGGCACTATTGCTGTTTATTTGGAGGTATTTGTAGCAACGGAGGAAGTGCACAGTCTCTCAGTGGTGAAGCAGAATGTGGTAGCACCAACTGCCATCTTCTGGAAGTAATAATGTAATGGCAACTGCCTTTTAATGGCCATTCAAGGGGGCGGGGAGAGATTGATTTTATTACATTTTGCCCCGTATATCCTTTTGGTAACCCTTGAGATGGTTGGACAGTGTCATCGAAGCAACCAACATGAATTTGACACAACTCCGGGAGGCGGTGGAGGATAGGAGGGCCTGGTGTGCTCTGGTCCATGGGGTCACGAAGAGTCGGACACGACTAAACGACTGAACAAACAAAGAGAAGATTCCATTCAGAACAGACAGAGAAATAAAGTAACACAAGGGAAAGGTAGAAAATTGATGCAGAGAATGCAGAAGCAATCTCCAAAGAAATATCAGATTAGTAATAATAAAGCAAAAACCAAAGTGTGCTGCTTATATACCGCCCCATAGTGCTTCAAGCACTCTCTGGGTGGTTTACAAGTAAATTATGCAGGCTACACATTGCCTCCTCAGTGAGCTGGGTACTCATTTTACTGACCTCTGAAGGATGGAAGGCTGGGTCAACCTTGAGACGGCTACCTGGGGTTGAACCCCAGGTTGTGAGAACAGTTTTACTGCAGTACAGCAGTTTAACCACTATGCCATGAGGCCCTTAATAATTAAGTGCAATCAAATTGATTCTGACTTAAGCAAAGCGTGCTGCTTATATACCGCCCCATAGTGCTTCAAGCACTCTCTGGGTGGTTTATAAGTTAATTATGCAGGCTACACATTGCCCCCCCCCCAGCGAGCTGGGTACTTATTTTACCGACCTCGGAAAGATAGAAAGCTGAGTCAACCTTGAGCCGGCTACCTGGGATTGAACCCCAGGTCGTGAGCACAGTTTTGGCTGTAGTACAGCTGTTTAACCACTGCACCACGAGACAAGCCTTCTACAATTTTTTTTACGTATAAAGTACTTACAGGAGGTTTACCAAACCCTCCTTCTAGTGGTGCTTTGGTACTACTATTCAGCTTGTCCAAGGTTTGTCCAGATAGCAGGACATGTAAATGCATTATACCCATATGATCTAGGTGATCTGAGTTGTCCTACAGCCAGGTGCTCCAACCTATGGAGCTGTACCAGCTCTTTACAAGTAGGGTATGAAAAATAATCTATCCACTCAGCTTTCACTGTCCTCCATCCCTCATGGCTTTTTCTCCTTTCTGATCAAAAATATTACTGCCTCACAATACATTTACCCACTAAGGTGGTCCAGATGGCTTTCACTGCCTGAGGATAGACGGAAAAATACAGAGAGTGTTGACTTTGTGTAGTTTTCTACTTCCACTGTAGCATCTGGGAAAAACCATTGACAGAGGCAAGTGACCAGATGAGACCATTTTAATGTTTAGAGTCCATCTGGTCACATCCAGTGTCTAACATTTAAGGTGATCATATCGGTTCACAAAGCTTTTCAGCTTGTGTTTTCAATTCTTTGGTATCTCTGTTACAAAAGTGTTTCAACATCTGCAATGCTCTTTCATGCTGAAAAATCTAGAGATAATAGT